TCGTCGTGTCCTGTGAGGCACGTTCAGGCACATAAAAATATTATCTCTTTAAACATATTAACTTATACGACTTCAATAAATCGTTATTATTATAGCAAGGCTTTCATTAGTGAAAGAAAATGCAGAAATTTATTACCTCATTGCAAAAAATTTGCTAAAATTGTTATTGTATCTTAATTTTAATGTAATATAAAATAATAGGTAAATTATAAAAGCATGATGTATCCGCCTTCAACTGAATTCTGCAATTTAGTATGTTTTACTGGTATGGTCCAAATAAATAAATGAGTAACTATAATAAAACTAAAAATGATTTTTAGGTTTAATACAAGACGAGTGTTATTGTTATGACGCTAGTGGTAACCCGCCGCCGCCGTGTCTAATTCAGAATGTGTTGATTTTTCACACTTTATTTAAATGTGTTGAAAGTTTTCTCAAACACCGAACATCGTAACTAATTCTAGAATGTGAGCCCAATACGTAGAATTTTGTTGGCATTTTGTTACAGGATAAACATCTAAAGAGTGTCTCTAACTGTTCTACGAGTGAAATTAATACTCTGAGTTTATACTTTCCTTTGTTCGAAGAGCTTCGTGTGGCATTAATTTAAATACTTATCTATTGTACAACTGACGAAATTCATCCACGAAAGAAGTTTAATGTACTCATTTAAAACTATTTTACTCTAAATGCAATGTTCTAATTGACTACAAAAGACTAAATTAAGGAAAATCGCTACATGTGCCCTTCGTCTTTTTTATTTTCTGAGTCTCTTGAGTTCGGATGTCAATATACATAGTTGTCAGTGTTGGATAAGAAATTTTAAAGAATCTAAAAGATCTCAATGAAGATTAATTATATGGGCCTTACGTGACCTTTGGTTACAGTACAGGTACCAAGGTAAAGAGATTTATCTTAAATAAAAATGTTTAAAAATTTGCTATCTCGAGCATCGAGATAGAACTTCGTTATGATAAATATCAATATAGCATTCAGAATGTAAAATTGAACAAAAATATATAAATCAGAAAGTGAATCTTTTTCGTGGTTTGGATTTGTGTCTATAGCTATCGGGTTACGGGTCTTTACCCCAGTCTTTGCAAGATGTACCATAACGCGTCATGTAAGCCTTATATGGACTTACGTGTTTAACAATACTTGTACTTAATCGGTAGCTTAAAAGAAATAGGAACTGATTATACTCGCAGTCACACGGACAAGGCCGTGACTGATCTCTTATTCGTTTTATTATTATAAGAAGGAAACTATTCTCTAAACTGATAGTACATACTTATTTTAATTTAAATCGAAAGTAATGTGCCTATTAGATTTGACACCGACCATTGGTTTCGTAGTACGGACGGACGGATGGAAAGCGGCGTGCGCCCGAGCAAGGTCACTTGCGACACAGTGCAACACTGACTGACACCACCACTCGGACACAGCTGGACCACAGCTGACACCGACAATGTCAACATGGTTTCTAATTTAGTACAAATTAGTACATTTTCTTGATCTTATCTTTAAATGTACCTACACTGTCTATATTTTTTAGTGTTGTTTATATAATAGAAATATACTTTTTAAAGTTTTTTTTTTGTATAATGAGGTTGGAGAGAAATTGCCAATTCGCATTATTGTTGAGAATGAAGATTATTGTTTTAAAAAATGACCTTTATATCGTGACGGCCTTGTCTGGTGTACAAGTGGGCAACGTGTTGAAGAATAATGCAATGATTGTTTTCCCTTTATATTTAAGAAATACCAAAGGTTTATTTACTTGTTTGAAAACCAAAACACTGATTTGCCATTTTTAATCTATACATATGTAAAGAAAAAGTATTTCTTTAATATTTAAATGTACATAGTATGTAGTGTATAAAAACTTTTTGGTTTTCTAATACTGCTAATTTATAAATTATTTTCAGGTAGGAATTTTATTAAGTGTAATTTAAGTTTAAGTAGTAATATAATTTGTTTTTGTCACTAACAAATAAGTCTTTATTTTCAGAGCAACACATTGAGTTTACATTGTTAATCCTTGTTGTTGAGCCATTAATTTACACATATATAAAAGGAGATGTCCTAACATACTGACTGACAGATAACGTACATTTTATTTAGAGGGCACATTCCTTTTATTATGTAGAGGTGTGATTAAGAACGGATTTTTGTAAATTCTACTTCGAAGCGGGTTAAAAAGGGGGAAAAACTTTGTATGAAACTTCTTTGTTTTTGGACCTATGTCAATGAATATTGGTATTTGAGTAGTTTAAGACCCGGGGAAATTGATAGGTTATATTTCATCTCGAAAACCAGCACTTGAGGGATGAAAATGAGAGTGAAAGTTTTTATGGGGGTATGAATGTTACCATAGCAACCATTGCTTACTATTTGATTTGTCATTGCAATGAATCTATCTAATATTATTCATAAACATTTTATTAGATTGCGATAAAAATTGGTAATCGAGTAATTTATAACCAAGTGAAATATTTTTAAATTTCAATTTATAAAATGTTTAAGTCATTTTATTTCCGAAAGAAAAATTCTGTTTATATATTTTGAGCTAAACTAGATGGCGTGCGGTATATACTACATTGCGCTGTTTGGTCAAGGTTGCAATTTAAAATTAAATCAAATAAGAACACTAAGCTTTACTATACTAGATGGCGTAAAATGTACCCAAACTGCGTTATCGTTTGGTTCAAAGAATTTGCGTAGATTTGAGTTTTGTGTAAATTTCAGATTTTGTATTTTAAATTGCGTAAATATAGCTATTTGTTGTTATGTGGCGTCTGCGAAGTTAAACATCGAGATAATTTAATTTTAATATCACGGGTACTTGTTCATAATTTAATAAAATTAAAAAAAAACGGATAAGTATACCTGTGTTTGTATCTAAGCGACTTTCACAAGGGTTGGTCACGAGATGAGTGACTAAAAAAATGTTGTCCGAGCTATGAAAGAAAGAATGAAAGTTTCTACGGAAGTTCATTGTCTAATATAAATACGTGAAACTTTACATTCAAGTACTTACACCATATAGTATAATAAATACATATTTGTTTTAGTCTGCTGCCACTAAGTAACTATACCACGCAGACGAAGTCGCGAACAAAAGCTAGTAATACGTATATTTAAAATATTGATAAAATTACGAATAGTATTTACGAAATTAAATTATTTAAATATACTTATGAAGTTATTTTTATGTACCACATTTTATGGCTAGCGAGATGCCACATTCCAGTCTTTAACCAGTTCCTTGGGTTTTACCAATGTATGTAATATAGTGTGTATCTGCTACTCCTACAGACCCGCAGCGTAACTTTATTATGCATTCGTTTAATGTATATGTACCCAAATGTTCAGAAATGTAAACAGAAAACATGCACTTAGAAATTACCAAAAATTGACTCCTAACTCATGTCCATAAAATAATGAAACAAATGTAACTCTTTATCACAAGAAGATCCCTTCTGGATTTTTTAATCCTGATTTGTTTTCAAACTTGTATCGGCACTGATCCAGTTGAAGAACAATCTTTAACTAGCAGAAGTGACTGCGGGCTATTCTATTCATCTAATTTAAAACAATAACTGACTCTGTAGTGATAACATATTTCACTACCTATAAGGATTCGGGCCGTTCGAGTCACTGGAGTGAACATTTTATATTCAGACCTTTTGTCTTTCAAGATTATTGAATAAAATCTTTGAATTTTATTGAAGTTGTAATGGTCATACATAACAATCGAGGAATAGTTGTCTGTCAATTGATTTATTTATTAGCAAAAAACTGCTCCTTCGGAACTTGTATCATCGATGAGAATACGCTCGCCAGCAAAAGCTTGATATATCTATATATATATATATATATATATATATATATATATATATATATATAAAACAGTCTTGATATATTGACAGTCATGCCAAGGTAGCTCTTGAGCTGTAAGAATATACACTTAGTCAGCGTAAAGCATTTTCACTACAATTTTGACTTTATTTACATAGATTATGAAGTTTATCAGGAAAAAATCTGTAATAAACTTTTAGAAAACATAGAATGTTTCGGATGAACAGTCTTGTTTTTCCTCTTAAATCAGATTCCAAGTCGTCGAAGCAGATCTAGTGTGGGTTTTTATTGAAATGCATAATCATCTCACCGACACGTCGGCTTAATAAACAAACGTAACACATTAACTGGTGCGTTACGTTGACGTGACGTTAGTTACGTGGAGGCTGATCGTGTATACAAACACGATGGACCTGTCCGTCAACTTATATTGGGAAACAACATACTTATACTTATAGTTACCATTGATCTATTGGAAGTAGGAAATTTAAAGTAACTAAAGTCTATTAACCGCTTGTAATAGTAAATACTTATTACTAGTGTTGTCATTATGATTATGTTATCTTTACCGTATAATGTATTTAAATTTTTTTCATTAGTAAATTAATGCCTAAAAGTCTTTAAGTAGTATTTGGTGAGTTGTATTTAGTTTATTTAAACTATTACAATAACATAAACATCAATGATAAGCAGGTATCTTAAATGCGCTAGGGCCGTCAACGTTTATGGCTAAATATCGATAAAATTGTTTAAATAACTATACAAATATAAATAATAAGAGTATAACAAACCCATGTCTCGGCCGAAAGGTTCTATTTGCATAATATATTGTTATGATAAGCGAACGTTAGCCTCAAGATTGTATATAAGTAATATATTACTTTGTACGCTTGTGGTTAACTAAACTACTTTTGATTATACGAAAACTAGAACTCTGTAAAAATGTTGTTGGATTAAATATTTCCTGTCCATATATATAAACAATTTTTAAGATAAAAAAAATTAAGTTTCCATTGAAACCTCACAAGTAAAACACACGACCGTTCACTTTTTATATCATAAGTTGGTTAATATTACAAGGACGCTCGAGCGGCCGCACAAAAAAATTAACTACAACCAAATTTCATCTAATGACTCACCAAAACTATTTCAAAACACGAACTAACGAAACGCGTTTTCTTAATATTTTTTTTCTTCCGGAAAAACTCTTATTTCACTCGCGGTAACTTTAAGACAGTTGTCAAAAAGATGGCGCGAGCGTGCTCCCGAGTCGGCGCGCCACAACGGTGTGGCGAGCGCGCTGCTGCTCAGGCCCCGAGTGACCGGTCCGATTACGCCACAACAAACAACCGCGGTACGCGGGTGTCGTATTATCTGCCGCGGTTCACTGCGCCCGCGCATCGCGCACACACCACTCCACAGATAACGCGAATTTCTCCCATGAGGAAAAATAACGCAAAGTAGCGGAAATTGCAACTCTTTTAATGCATTGAAATTAACAATTTTTTTTTTTTTATGTTATTAGAATAAACAAACTTAAAATACGTATTATCCGAAAACTTCCTGTATTGATAATAAAAAATACTTGGTCTAGTTTCACGGTTCCTTAATCGTAGATGTAACAGAGAGATTTGAAGCTATAAATAATACAATTGTTAGGTAACCATCATCACCCACGTTCTATTAAAATGCCCAATATTTCGTAACGATATGCACACTTTACAGATGCATTTGAATACAAACCTCAGGAAAGAAAATTTTGCCAGCATAATAAATAACAAGGACGAAAGAGGAATATTTATGGAACATGTGTGTAGTATAAAACAAAAACTGTAATTGGAAATAAGGATTGAGTAATACACAACAATTGTAAATCTGTGATAATAGAATAAGAATTTGCAATGTCTGCAAAATTATAAGACAAAACAGTGAATGGAAAACATGATAGTAAAATATAGCATAACAAAATAAGTAATAAATATAATGAATGTATAGCATAACATAGAAGATAAGAAATGTAATACTTATAAGAGTATACATTAACCAATAAATAGGGAAAAGAAAAACCCTAGACCAATGTCAAACACCTTGATAAAAAGGAAAAGAAAAGTAAAAAAAATAAAAAGCAGAAAAAATATCCTACTATTACAGAAGTGGGGAAAAACTGCAAAAAAAAATCCATCATCACCAGTAAGTAATAGATATAATAAAATAACACAAGTTTAAATTCTATTACAGAACTTATTACGCCACCGTGTTATCAATTATTGCGTACGTCGTGTTGAGCAAAAGTCGATGTTCGAGAATACCGACATAATATATAATGATTATTACAATGCTACACTGAAAAATATTCATAATGAGAAAAGTAGCGAAAAGGTAAAAAGTACTGGAAAAAATTGTCAGTCCTGTTAGGTACTGGGTAGCTCAGTGGTTAGAGCAGTTGCTCGGATTGCGAAAGGTAGTGGATGCGAATCTCATCTCAAAGTACCAAGGGCAAAAATATTACGATTTAAGTCAATTAACATTAACCCATACGAGACATGAATACCAAATGAAGTTGATTTTAGCACATTGCGAACGTAACTCGAGGAACTGTGTGATGTAAGCAGTAAGCACAGTTTAAGCAGATCACCGAACTGAGACCCATTACGTATACTTAATATTATTGTAGTGTCACCTGCTCAAATGCATATCATTACAGTAATACGTCAAATCCGGCTTGATTTATTCTAAATGAATATGTATGTAAACTTTTATGTTTAGAAAATAATAAATGTTTTATATTCGACTTATGACGCCATCTAGTAACACTAAACAGAAACACGAGTACCGATATGGATACTAGCTATCAAAACAATACACGTGTTTTTAGTAATTCGGGTAATCACCACCGAGTATCTTACCGTGAACGTCGAACATGGTGACAATGTTATTTTTGAAAAATTAGATCTTTGATATATCTACTTAGTTATCTTAACCTTGGCTTAATTAAAGACTCTACATTATTTTATTTTTTTTGGTTTTTATCGCCTCCCGTTTCATAATATCCATTTATCTATAATTTGATTGTGTAACGTAGTTAGATAGATAGATAACACTAGGTGCTTTCTCTACTCTAAATTTTTTTTTATTCGCCTCCCGCTTAATAATATCCATTTATCTATAATTTGATTGTGTAACGTAATATTTAGAGGTAGAACAAAGATTAAAATATATATATTTTAAATGAGAAACCATTAAGACTCTAAATCACTGAATCGCGAATCGTGAAGAATCTGACTATATATATGTCAATAGACGACTATCAATTTTTGAAACTATGAATACGCTATAACATACTCAAGTAGAAGGGATTAACAATAATAAATTTAAATAATATATTATATTTGTTGTGTCGTGTTTCATTGCTACACAGTTGCAGAATAGTACACCCAGGCGCTTGGTCATTTTGGTTGAGTTCAAAAGAAAATATTTAAATGTATTTGGAACATTAAATACTGATTTTAACAAAAAATAAAAAGATTTTAAGTGGTACACGAGATGTGAATTCAGTAATTATACAGGCTTACAAGAAAGTGATGATCGAGTCTTTAAAGTTTTTTGGGAGTCCCTTGAGAATGTCCTACCCTTCCAAGTATCGATGAAGTTACTAATCCAGAACATTGGTATAATAATCATACCTACAAACATTTTTCATATTGGTTTATTGGACACTATCAAACACACATTTATTAAATTTCTCCTTTCAGTAAATGTTACCTTAAATAATACAACTTTTTGAAATAATGAAGTCCTCGAAGGAATAGCTAATTTAAACCCAACTAATACAAAAAGTTATTTTAAGACACGTTTACTTAAAAAGCCTATTAATACTCGCAATTCAAAAGGAATTCATACAGTTTTATACATAATTAGTTAAATAAAGATTTAATTTTTGCAGAAGTTTTTAGTTTTTTTTTTTATTCTAACTCAGTTTTATTTTAATATTTTGTACACGAGTTACACGAGGTGTAAATTTGATAAGTTTATCAGGTTTATAAATGAAATTAGCACCATATCATAATAATTAATAAATAAATTTTTTGCCTCCTTGTGAAAATGCAAATACAAAAATATTCTTCAAAATATGTGTAATACAAAAAAAGTTGAGTCGGTCAGTCATATAGCTGTTCTTTTTTGTATGGTTGGTTAAAAATCATTAAGTGTACCTTTATGATTATTTTGTTTATTAATGTGAAGTTGTTATGCTACCACTCACCTTGATATGGAATAAACGAAGTCACTTCGGCAGCGGCTCGCGGCTAGTGTGCTCTCGTATCAAACGACTCGATATAAATAAGTCGATATCGGCCGATGCCAATTAGGCGTACAATCGTTAATTCATTAATCCACCAATTACTAGAGCTTGCCACAATCTCTGTTCGTAATACGCGATCTCAGAAATGTCTCGTCTTGATTATTATTTTTATTGTATCACAAAAGCTCCAAGAAGCTTTCCCGTTAGTTTGTATATCGTTGAATGAGAAAAATGTGATATCTTTTTTAAATAATAGATCGACTTCAAAAACGTGATCAATGCGAGTCATCTATCAAAGGTGGTCCATTAAATACATTTGAGATTTTCTTTTTAAAAAATTAATAATTCGATATTTTTGGAACAGTAATAATTCAGGTCCATTTAAGCCTAGAAAAATAATGTCCTTCATACATAAACTAACTTCATTATTAATAAGGTTCACGGCTGGAGCCATGGAACCCCGTAAGAAAAATCCGTCACTACGCCAATGATTCCAAAATGGGTATGAATCAGTTTACAATGGTATTACTGTAATAAATGTAATTAGGGCGGGGCAAAGTAGAGAAATAACTTTTCTATATTGTCACGGGGGTGTCTGTTGACCTCTTTTCAAATTTTCACATCTGTGATTTTCCTAAGGGCCTCAAGGCGAAGTAGATAAAAAGGAGTACATTATCACTGTAAGGCTTGGTAGGAATTTTAACATAGGTATCTAGTGATTTGTTTCTGGATTCTCTTTAACATAGTGACATGAAATGAAAAGTTAGAGTGCCAATTAAAGCTGGCATACTCTAGTTGATTTCTAACGTTATATGTTTATATTTATTATTACTAGCTGATCCGGCAAACGTTGATTTGCCATATAAATTTGGGTTGGGCCACCCTTATCACTTGTGGATATAAAAATACATAAATACCTATTCTCAGACTTATAAAATTTCATAAAAATCGATCAAGACAATTTCATATTTATTAACTTAAAGAACCTCAGTTACAGGAAACAAACCATACGATATAAGATTACAAAATGTCCATATATAAAATTAAGTATTATATTTAAATATATCAAAGTAAGAATGTCCATCAGTATGTATAATTATAAAAAGAGTTGAGTAGTTGTCTTTTGAAAGAAGCATATTCGTGAGTTTTTATCGTACGCTAGCTTTCGGCCAGCGGCTTAGCCCTCGTGAATCTGTATGTATTAATAATAATATACTTTATTGCATACAAAAAATAACAAGTTACAGTAAATTATAAAAAACGTTTACAAAAGGTGGTCATATCGCTAAGCAGCAATCTCTTCCAGGCAACCTATGGAGGACAAAATAAAAAGGTTGAAGTTTATATGGGGTATTGGGTGCAACGGTAAGAACGATAAAAATATCTTAATAAATGAAATAAAATAATTATATTAAGGTAAAGAAAGGAATTAGCCTTAACTCTGTCGCCAAAAGAACTAAGTGAGCGAGATATCCTGACTTCCATAACTGAGTTAAAAGAAATGAGTTCCATAACCGCACACCATGCGCTGATAAGGAATAGCACGAAAAATCGGTAGAATGGCAAGGAATGTCCAAAGTGAGAATGTGAGGTTGTGATCCAAAGTGAAATGACTGTCAAGCTGGTCGATATCAAGATAACAAGAAGGTTTTATTGGTTGGTTTGTTGGTTGCCAACTCCAAGAGATTTCAGAATTTCCACACTTTTCCAGGGTCTTGATTATTTACTGATTCGTGAATATAGCGTCTTTGGGCGGCCCTAATCATCGTGTTGTACCGATTTCTAATTCGATTCTATTTAAGTCCATTTTAATTGGAAGGATCAGATTTGAATTTAGCCTTGGCCCTATTCTTTGTCCCCAATATCCCTTGATCTGTCTTGTTAACCAGGGAACAGGCCCGTCGTACAGATCTTCGAGGCGTTTATTAAAAAGTTCAACTCGCTCATCTACAGAACTGGTGGCGAAAATTGAATTCCAATAATGAATACG